ATACCTCCCCATTTTCTATCAAGTTTCCAGGGTCTAATGATGAAAATAACCTGCCTTGGGAGTGGTTAGAAACTCATGCAAGGATATGTAACTATTCCTTGGATATAAAAAAATGTGAAAACACCTTGTGTTGCTTACCAAAGCGATGTGAAGAGGCTGCTAGTCTTCTTATAGAAAATGATGGATTTCTCCCTCCGATAACGATGGGTAAAGATGAGCACCACGTCAATCTCATACATTTGTTAGAATTTTTCAATAAAGATAAGATACCAGGATATGACGCTCATTGCCCCTCAATTGGCAAAGCCAAGTACGCTCAACTTTGTTGCCCCAAATGCAACAAATATTTTCTAACGGTTTCAATGGTTTCCATTCATCAAAAAAGCCAACACCCCAAAAAACGAGGACGACCTAAAAGCTTGGTATCAGAATCAACAAAAATTGCTCAAGACAGCGATAACGGAGGAGAAACTCATGTAAGGAAACGTGGAAAACCAGGTAAAACAGGATCCTAGATTAAAAAGGTGACAGAAAATAGAAATATATAAATAATATGTAAATAAATAGAAGCTAGAGAAAAAGTAATTGCAAAAAAAAAAAAAAAAAAAAAACTTTCAAATTTGTAACCATTGTAGAGATTGTACCTGCCAAGAAATTTTCTACCCGGGCACTATTAAATTACCCGGTTATCCGAATAATTTATTATGGCCATATAATAGAAATGTACAATCTCTAGGCCATTGTTTTTAATCGTATTTGGCGTGTTTTATTACTAGTCAAATCAACACGCACATATCACAGATTCTGTGTCGCTATAGAGTAAAATCTACAAACAAAAATTTGCAAGCTTTAGTAATAAACTTTTCAGTTGTAGAGCGACTTGCAACTTTGATCAAACGAGTTTCTGCCTATAAGTTTGGAAAATTGTAATTAATAACTTAACTCCGAAATTTCCGCCCATCTCGTAAGATCTGAAAACTGATCAGCTAAAAAAAGAAGTAAAATGACGAATTTAGATTATCAAGAAACTTTTACCGCACGTGAAAGATGCACCAATAATAATAAGATCTCTAGATCAGGTGTAACTGAAAATCACGATTTTTATAAAAAGTGCAGATGGCTCAAAATTTTGGTTATACAACCACCTTCTGTGTACTAACAAAAAGGTTTCCTTACAAAATTTTAGTATAAAAAACGGTTTATTTTAGTCTCTATTCAAATCCTGATGTAAGGGCTTTACTACTTTAAAAATATTGCGTGTATTCATTAATGTAAATAATCTGATTGGTACATTTACCATGTTAGCCGTTACATAACTATTATATGCTATGCCACTCAGAGTTTGACTTTAAATTTGCATAACCGTTACAACCGTTACTCGAGGCAGTTATGTGACTTAGAAATCATAGAGCCGTTACATAACCGTTATATGCTGTGTCACTCAGAGCAGTTATGTGACTTTGAAATCACAACCGTTACAACCGTTACAACCGTTATATGCTGCGCCACTCGAGGCAGTTATATGCTTAGAAATTATATAGCCGTTAAAACCGTTATATGCTGCGCCACTCGAGGCCGTTATAAATTTTAAATAAGCTTTTCTGCAGGAGTAATTAAGAGGAGGTGGTGTCAAATGACTAACCCTGGGTACTATGATAGTCAATTAATAGGTTTTTTATATGTGTCAAATGACTGACTCTTGGGGTATTGGGAGTGGTCAATTGACAATTCCCAGGGGGAGCTATATTGAGCTCTTAAATGTCAGCTCCCTAATGTAATTGGAGATTAATTAATAATATTAATTTTTATATGATTTAATTTTTATTCTACATATTTAACAATAAAAAATCGTTGAAAGCATATTGTTACCAAATTGAGTAATTGTTAAGATCATCATTCAATCTTCCAGACAAAAGGTATTAGTTTTTAATGTAATCAGGGATTAATTAAAAAATTGCCAAAATGTATAACTACCAAATTCAGTAATTGTTAAGTTATATTATAATTAATATAATCAGTTATTAATTAATGATATTATAGCGATATTAATATAATTTTTTTATTGCTTAATAATGAATGAATACAACGTTCGAAGAAATATCTTCTATGCAAAAGGTAATTAATTTAATGTAATCATTTATTTAATAAAGTAATTTTTTAATTTAATTAATGGATATTAGGATGATGAGGGTAAGATTTATATATAAGACGGTCAATATTATTAGAATTCTTTTAATTTTTTCGTCAACTTAATATTTTATCAAAACATGGGTAAAGAAAAGCATTTGCCAAAACCAGAGAGTAGTAAAATAGGTGCTAAAAAGTCTAAGAAGTCATGTAAGCATAAGAAAAGAAAATGTAAGGTTTATAAAAGGTGATAACTTTAATATATCATTAATACAACAATAATCTATTATTTAGTAGATGCGAGTTTCATTGCGCAAGCAGTAGCTCAAGCAGTCACGACAGTATTTAGTAAGGAAAAAGAAAGAGCAAGATCAACATCACCCTCAAGCTTTAGTAGCTCAGAAGCTACTAGTAGCAAAGATGAAAGTGAGGTGGAAGATAAATTGGTTAAAAGGAAAAGAGGTAGATCAGTTAGTAAGAGGAAAGGTAGATCAGGTAGTAAAGGTAGTAGTAGGTCAGTTAGTAGAAGCACAAGTAGCAGCACTAACAGGTCTAATAGCAGTAGTAGCAGTTCAAGTGAGGATATACTGAAAGTATTGACAGATGAGCAGAGGTCTTACTTACGAGTAAATATTATTTGTCTTACGTTTGTGTATTCCTCTGTTTTTTACTTTTATTATTATTATTGTTATTATAATTAATTTACTTTTATTAATGTTATTATAATTAATTTACTTTTATTATTAATATTATTATAATTATTATTACTAAAGGACAAAATTAAAGTATTAATAGAAGGTGGTAAACTATCTGACCTAAAGCCTGATCCGACTAAACAATAGGCTAGCCAATCACAGAACATGAAGCAAAAGCTGATTCCGGCTATTACAAAAAAATTACCAGAATATCGGCACTATTCTGGTGTGATTAAAAAAACTTTAAAACAACATCATAAGACGCAGCATCAAACAGTAACAATAAATGCTGATCCAAAATTAAAGGCTTATAATCATGTCAGAATGGAGAAAAATAGTAAGGTGAATGAGGTAAGCATAATAAAATTTGTTATGTAAATTATTTTTTAAATCAATTCTAGAGTTACTTGACTAACAAATTATTTACCTAATAAATCGGTAAGAATTACCGATATATTGAGTAAATGATTTGTTCTTAACCCACAAATCATTTATCTAATATATCAGTAATCTCTTACCGATTTATTAGGTAAATGATTTGTAAGTGAAATATAATAATTTAAATTACTGTATTATAGAAGAGAAAAAGAAAATGAAAAGCATTAACGTATTTAATAAAGGCAGGAAATAAAAGCATTAGGAGATATTCATGGGATGACCTGAAGAAATTAACAAGAAGCAAAGAAGAGAATTCCTATCATTCTGATGAGAAGTGGAAGACGGATGAGGATCAGTCGAAGGACGGTAAGAAGGTTAAGAAGTTAGTTTGTATTGACAAATGGTAGTGAGGCCCTAATATAAGTAAATATTTTACTGATGCTGAAAAAAAATAATGTTGATCAATTTTAAAATATTATTTATACATGTTTTTAATTTTTTATTACGTAAAAAATTATATTATAAGATAAAATTAGCCAGCATTATTTATAATGCTAGCTAATTTAATCTATCTTCTTTATTAAACTATACTGGTATGAATATTATATTAACAGACTATCGTCTTACTTATTTAGTTAAAACGGCTATTCCATAAGCATATTGATCCATTTGTAGAACAACTGCAGCCAAAGAACAATAGAATGCATAAACAGCATTATAAAAGGCAAGTTGATATGACTGGAATGCCACCACCTGATTGCTCAAGATGGGCATTATCAGAAGAAGCTTTAAACCTATTTAACATTTCAGATCCAGAATTTGATGCAGACTTTTTCACTGGAAATGAAGATCTACGTAAGAAAAAAAAAGCGAAAAAAAGTGGTAGTGCGAATGCAGAAAAAAGTAGTAAGGGAAGTAAAAGGAAAGAAAGAGATGATGATGATAGGAAAGAAAGAGATGATGATGGTAGAATTATATTATACAAAAGAAGAAAGAAGAATAGTAATACTTCACTACTACCTAACATTAGAGATCTCGCTGCTATATGGTTTAATGTTACTACAGTAACAACATCATCTGCACGAACTACAACAACAACAACAACAGTAGCAGCAACACTAACAGCAACACTAACAGCAATATCAACAGCAACACCAACAGCAACACCAATAGCAACACCAATAGCAACAACAACAGCAGCAGCAACAACAACAGCAGCAACAACAACACAAACTAAAACAGCAGCAACAACATCAAAACAGGAGCAAAATCACCTTCAAAAGGTATAAAAGGCCTCACTATTAATGTTACAACAATATCTAATGAAGATATACTAAGTGAAAGTGTTGGCAATGATGATGATGGTGAGAGAAGCGATAGTGAGAGTAAAGGTGGAGATGAGGATAAGAGTGAGCGTGCAGATAAAAAAAGCGGGTGGAGTAAAAAAAGTAAGAGGAGAGGAAGGAGTGCTGAAAGTAAAAAAACCAAGAAAAGATCGCGAAAGTGATAATGAATATTAATTATAAATTATCATTTAATTATTTTTCAAAATAGAATTTATTTGAAATAATTAAATTTAATAAATATAATATTGATACATATAACATAAATATCATCTAATGAAATATTAAACAGTAATATATTATATAAAATTTTTATATTATCGATAAGAAGATATTTGTAAATTAATTAGAAAATCAAAAATATCGGCTATATATCCTCTAAAAAAAATTTAACTGATTATTAAGTAATTAGTAAATAATTTAAAATCATAAAAAAATCATTCGAAATATACTTAAAGAAAGTAAGTAATCATAAGTCTATCATCAAGGTAATCATAACTCTATTATTCTAAAAATTAAGCTGATCATCTGATTACTAATAAGATATTTCAATAAGTTACAATATCAGCAAAATATCATTTAAAAAATTTACAAATAGCTATTACTATATCAACCAATAATTAAAATGATCTTTAAAATATCAGCCTCAATCACTTTTAATAATAATTAATAAATCTAAAATATTGGTCAATATCTTTAATATCGATATTTTAATTTTATAATTATCATTCGATATCATGCTAAACATATTTATTATATCAGTATAATATCGTATAATCTAGACAAAAATTATTTATTAATTAGTTTGTAAAATATCGGCTAACGATTAATCTAATCACCAAACTATTATTAAAAAATCTTTTAAATGATATACTAATTATTGTATCGATATTTGAATAATTTTAGATAAAATTAACTAATATGCAACATATTTTTCTAAAATCTTCAGGCTATCAGCTTGTTTTTTTACTATCAAATCTGTTATAAGCCATCATACTATCAGCCTGCTATCATCTAGGCTGATTATTTGAAGATATAAGGATGTTATTTTTGATTTCGACTAGTATGAGATGCATTTAATAACTATTAAATTATCTAATTTAGTTTAGTGAATGCTGAGATATCATTAAAAAACATTTTACTAACTATATAAAATTCAATATAAACAATATAATTGTTTATATTGTTATATTAGCAAATTTTATTAATTAAATTTATTTAGATTATATATATTTTATTAGGAAATTTCTATTAGTCAAAGTTTATTAACAATTTTATTATATTTTATTATATTTTTTTTTAAATTTTATTATAGTATCTATATTATTATTATATATTTTATAATATTATTAGTTTATTTATATAGTTTATAGTATATTTTAGTTATTTTAGTTGCTTAAATGATAGTTTATTATTAACTTTATTAGGATAGTTTTTACAGAATTTTATTTAAAGCAATAGTTATTTAATTATTTAATTTATTAGTTCATTTAATATAAATAGAACCTGAATCAAAGTACACAAATACAAATAGTGCCTTAGAACAGCCCAGAATGATGTAACAACAACATTAAAGATAAACAAAGCCAAACAAACCCAAAATAGCAAAAGTACCCTTGCTATATCAAAAGGTGCCCATCCTATATTAAAAGGTGCTTATTCTATAAAGAAAAGTGCTTTTGCTATAGTAAAAGATGTGCAATCTCTAATTTTAATCATTTTAAGGTGCCTATTCACTATCTGAAAGTGCTTATCCACTATCTAAAGGTGTTCATTCTATAGTAGAAAGTACCCTTCTGTTAATAAAAGGTACACATCTTTAATTAATTATTATGTTCTATAGTAAATTAATATACTGAAAAAAAATATATAAACTCTGTCTCTTTTCTCAAGGCAAGAAGACAGTTGGTCACAATATTTTGGTTGCTATAGCCTTCTTATTATACACTTTGGTCTTGAAAATAGGTTCTATTTTTATTTTTGTTATAACTTTATATTAAGAATAAATCCTATTTTTGGTATTTTTATATTATTTTTATTGGAAATAAGTTCCTTTTCTGTAATATTTTTTTGAAACCTATTGTATTTTTCTTGAGTTATATATTTGTTTTATTTGTGTTATTCTTTTGAGTATGATTTGAGTTAATAAATCTATCATTTTTCTATAAATTTTGTTAGTTATAACTTTTCTTTATAAGTATCACTATAGCAGTAAATTGACAATATTTTATCTTATCTATAAACTGTTTCTTCTATAAATTAGGCTATGCAAACTTAATTAATTGGTTTTTATAACTCGGTCAGGTCAAAATTTGAAAATTTGTAAAAAAAAATTTTAATAACCGGGTGGGTATTTTAAAAAATTTTTAAAAAATTTTATAAATTTTTATATATGAAATTTAAAAAAAAAAGCTGGCCGGCTGGGTTTGTTTAAAAGTTTCATATTATAAAAACCAATATATTAAATTTGTGTGGCCTTATATATATATATTTTTTTTGTTGTTAAGGTAACCTCCTTGCTACACTGCACTTTATTGAATATTATTAGTATTTTTAACCTTCAAAACATTTTGAAGGCTATATATATTTGTCGAGTACAATTAGCTATATCTATGCCTTTTGAACATCTATTTAAGTATCTGCCTATTACTAGGTTCTACACTAGATGCTGTACCTGCACTATGACTAAGGAGGTACTCATTTAAACTCTCTGCACCTATGTACTAACTCTTTTATATCTAATCTTTTTATATATTAGCTTAGGGCTTTAAGCAGTCTCTACTATTTAGAAAGTCTTTTGACCTCAAGATAAACCTGCTAAAGCCTTTCATACCCACATTCAGTATTGTCACGAGACAGTTGTAGACAGTAAGTTTGGACACTTTAGACAATTTTAGATAATTAAATAAATTCAAATTACTCAAAATTTTATTAAGATAACCTATATTATTTTCTAAGTAAAATATGTTCAGCATCTAAAAAAATATATAATCATATATTTTTTAAACAAATTTATTAATTATTAAAGCTTAGACATGCTTTGGACACTTGTAGACACTTGGATACTTGGACGTTAGACAGTGCTAAAAAAGCCTTTGGACAGTCAAAACATACATCACTGCCCACATTTAGGCTAATCTAAACTTCAGTAACTTACACCTAGTTTGAGAACAAGTACTTGCGAGCCAAAGCTACTATCGTTATTTACTTCTGCCCTTATAGAGTTCACCCATACCCTAGCTCTAATACTTATTTAATCAAAAACTCTTTTAATTTTTACTAAACTTCCAATTCAGATAGCCCAATTTGGTCCACAAGTTGCATTACCTGCTTTTCTACTAGTTTAATCTGGATATCAGCCTGTGCTCTTTTCCTTAATCGATTCTGGAGGCCTGGTTGGTATAGTACTCACCAAACATCCAGTCTTTGTTCAAATTCACAACTTATTGGTTCTTTTTTTTAGACTTTCTAGAACCATCGAAAGTATGTGCTACCTCTCTATTTGGGATTTGCCAAGCGGAGTTCTATTCGGGACTAGTCCACCAGATTTACACAAATCACAAAGACTTATTGTGGATTTACATCACCTTTTATCAGTTTGTATTTCTTTGTATAACTCTTCTATTATACAAATGCCCCATGATCTTCCAAGTTTGTATTACTACCTCAATATGGCTTGTAAGATAAGCTGTCTATTAGGCAATCATTACTCCTTGCACCTATTTGGTCTAACTATTATTATAGAATCTACATCCCAACACCTAAATAGTTATTATTACATAGAAGAATTCGATTTTTCATTATTAGTATAAATTGAACTCTGGATGTGTTACTTGAGAGGGCAACAACTTGACCACTTCACTAAGTTGCCACACCCCTTCTTCTATAAATTATATAAACACATTTTTTAACTACTCATATACTTAGTCAAGTAAGGTAACTTGTTAACCAAAGGTCTAACTTGTAGTTAACAAAATGTTTTTTAATGATATTTTGGCATTTATTAAACTAATTTAGATGATCTAACTGTTGTTAAATGCATCTTAACAAGCTCTACAACTTTCTCTTAATGTAGAAGACTGATTAACTTAATACGAAAAAAGTTTTCTTTAGCTATACACTGCATTTTCACCTGTAGTAAT